TCAAAGGCAGAGGAATAGTTAGGATATGTTCACTGAAAGCCACTCTTTTAAAGCAGAGATCTCAGCAAATTAAGCCAAGTCCTGTTCTTTTTAGAATCTCTTTACTGTCACTGAAAAAATTCAAAGCTATGCCTAATCCCACCTGTGGTACAGAAATAGCCATTGTCATAAACAAGTGATTATAATTTTAGTAGTCATATATATGGCAAGAAAAAATCTTGTTTATTTTTAAATTAGATATGTCTAATTATTTCATAGGGCAATAGTGCTATACTCTGACATTAGTGTATTGATAGGTATGTACATATCCCATATTAAATATCACATAACATTCCCTGAAGGGAAGAACAGTGAATTTTCAGCCAAGCTTGTTATCTGGCATCTGGGAAGCTCAGACAAATTATTCTCTTGACCTTGGATAAATCACACAACCACTTTTCCCCAGTTTATACAAAACTACAAGGCCTACCTCTGAAACCCTTATGGGAGGTCATCGCAAACTGTAAAGTACACTCTGCTATTTATGCTTCTCTTTTTTGACCAAGCTTTTCAATTTCCTTTGTTGATTCATAATCCCCTGCTTGCTCGGGGGGACCCTACGGAAACTTAATCTGCTTTCTTTAAAGGATTTTTTTTCCATTGGTGATGTCACCTCTTCTTCCAGAACTTCAAGTATCATCTATATGCCAAGGTCCTTAAAATCCATTTCTACTCACCTCCCCGCACTAGCACTGTCAACTGTTTCCAACTGAAAGTCTTCTGAGTTTAGAGGTCCCAGCCTGATTTCAATTTTTTTAAAATATAAATGTATTTTCCCCCATTTTTCCATCTGAGTGATATCATTTTTATACAGTAACTCAGAGTCCAAAGGTCTGGATCATCTCCAGTAATACTTACCTTTTGGATTAGTGATCAATTTCTACTAGTTATGCCTTTTTAATAATATCAAAGGTCGACCCTTGCTTTTTATTCCCGCAGCTAATCTCAATTTGAGGAGTTACTGTGTGGCTTCCCCCTTCTGTGTTACAGCCTGGAAACTGCCTCCAGGGAGTCAACTACATGATCATAAGAATCACATAATTTGTTATCTTCCCATGCTGCCTATTTTCCAATGCCTAAAAATTAAAATTAATTATTTGAAACATTTTGTTCAGTTTTCCTGTTTTTTTTTTTTTTTTGGCTGAGCCATCCTGAGTTTTCCTGTTTTTTAACATGAGGATCCATGTTATTCCATCATGGCTGGAAACAAACATCGTAATTCCACGTATTTTATGTACAGTTCTCATTTTCTTTCTTATCTTTAGTTTCACTATTATTTATGATTCTAATGAACACAAGTTTTGTTTTCCATATAATATTACTTATTTCATCAATTCAATATTTACTATATGAGGGAGAGTATGAAAAAAAAGAAATATAAGTTCTATTCTGGGGTTTCATCATCATTTATACCAGTTATTTTCAAGTTCCTTAGAACATATATGTATATATAAAACTAGAAGTGATTAAAGTGAATAAACAAACAGACATTCCTTCTCAGTTCTGTATGTGCATCTTCAGCTTAGCATACTGACTTCCTGGCATCTTTATTAAAGTAAACAGAGCATTTAAGAAAATCCCGAGTTAAGTTTTAAAATGAAATGCAGTTACCTTTCTTTGAATACATTAGAATGCTTTGGTATACTATGTTCAAGTTGAAAGGATGCTAAGAATTGTGACAAAATCCTTTTTCTTGTTGTATACCATTTCACAATTCTAATATGGTAAAACACTCCATTCTTTTAAATTCTTATGTTGTAAGACTTAAGGACCAAATCTATGTAGCATTTGTCCTATAGCATCGAGTACAATACCACACACAATTAGGTGCTCAGTATTGCTTTTTGATGAGCAAGATAATAATGTCTATCTCAACAAGGTCTATTAACCTCTGTGGAATGAAGAATGCAATATATTTTTTTCAGTTTGTATTTTTTACATTATCCCTTTCTTTCCTTGTCTTCCTCCCACCCCGCTCCCCCCGCCCCCAAATCAACTCAATTCCCCATAGTATTGCATACTTTTAGTCTAGGGGAAAGGGAAATGCATTTTTATTCCACTTTATTATTAACCTTTCACAGCTTATGTTAAAAATTGGGTCTATGTTTTGTCTGTTGAGATCATTCATATAAACTCAGGGTATGACTTATGATAATCTATATCATAAGGTTCAATAATTTTTTGATATTTTCATGAACTAATATGTAGCAAACAAACCTAGTTATCGATCAGAAGATATACTGGGAATGAAAGTATTAGAATAATTTAAGTTAGTTTGTGCACACTGGGACATAAAACATTTAGAGACAGATATTTTTCTTGTGAAACTGCAGATATGCCCTCCCCCCCACCCTACCTCCCTACTTGTTTCTTTAGTTCTATGTAGTGTCTATCTTAGCACTCATGAGACATTTGACAATACAAGGTGTCATCAAAAAATACTGTGCATGTTTAACTTAAAAAAATTATTATAGTAAAAGACACATTTCCATTAACTTCTCTCAGGATGCTCTCCCTCACTTCAAACACACATATCCCATCTTTCTTGCCACTTTCTCAAGCAGTTCTGGAAGTCCTCTTTCATGAGTGTCTTTAGTTGCACTGTCCTGGCTGCCTTGATGCCCTGAATTGATTCAAAACGTTTACCTTTCATGGTTATTTTGACTTTGGGGAAGAGCCAGATGTCACACGGTGCCAGATCAGTGATAAGGTGGATGAGGACACAATGTTATGTTTTTATTTGACAGAAATTGCTATACCAGAAGCGATGTGTGACACAGAGTGTTGTCATGATGGAGGATGAAGTAAAGGCACTCATGAAAGAGGACTCCCAGAACTGTTTCAGAAAGTGGTTAAGAATGATGGGGTAAGTGTGTTCGAAGTGAGGGGCAGTATTTTGAGGGGGATTAATGGCAGTGTGTCTTTTACTGTAATAGATTTTTTAATTTAAACATTCACTGTGTCTTTTGATCATACCTCATGTATTAAAGTGGTTAAGCTCACAGAATCTGGAGGCAGACTCACAAGGTTGGTGATCTTGGGCTCATTATATATATTTCTGTACCTCAGTTTCCTTTACTGTATAAAATGAGAATATTAAAAGTACTTACTTCACAGAATTAGGAAGATTAAATGTTGAAAATTATAGCACCCACACCTCATGGTCTTGTGAAAATTTAAGACCTTATAATAGTACCTCAAAGTCAGTAAACATCCAATAGATACTAGCTATTATTATCATCATTAGCATCATAACCATTACTACCAAGAACCTTAACTCAAGCCTGCGTCTTATTCCATTTTGTGTCCCCAAATAGTATGAATTCAATAAATATTTTTACTTTTTATAAATTGTGGAGTTTTGTTTGTTTGCTTGTTTCTTCCATCAGTACACATTTAGCAGGATAGAATTTTACTGGATAGAATCTTAGTCCTGTGGCTTGGTTATCAGTAGCAACAGAGATAATATGAATTTCCTTTGGATCTACAAATATCGCTTAGATGGAGACTGCAAATACGTCCAATTAGTGAGTTAGATTTCTCTGTTGCCTGTTACTTTTCCCCCAGATTCTGAGTATATATTGAAGTGATGATGCATCCATTGCTATCATCTCCAGATGCAATAGCTTACCTAAGAGGAGAGATGCCATCTCATTACAGGATAATTGAATGCCTCCTTCCCCACTATCCATGGGCTTTCTCAGCCTCCCCAATCCACCACAGTGAATGCGCCCATGTTTGGCTGCTCAAAGACTATAAGACCTTCAGAGTTCTCTGATAAATATGAACATAGACAATTCCTATTATGTATTGAATATCCTATATGGATAAATTCCTAACAAAATAACCCAACTATTTATTTTCCAAACATACCAGTTTCAGATTCAATAAAAGAAACAAGAGACTATCAATGAAGGAAGGATATTTGTTCTCTAATGAGGGGTGTAAGACCCTGATCTTAATAGTGGTTTAAGCTACACTTTGCTAATATTACATTATACTAAAATTTAAAATGGCACTAAAACCATTTACCTTTTATGCTAAATTTTTGGATCATGCTTTATTTTAAACCATGAGCTACT